TGGGCAGTGATAACGATGAGCGAACGCACAACGCAAGTAACACTTACAGTGCTGGCCGCTCACAATGTATAGAATACTTACAGCGTTTAAAAAAACACACAACATGACACCCCTAGAACATTGGACAGCCCGTGGGAACGGCTATGGAATGAATGGGAGCCGACAGGAAATCTCGCGCCTGGCGAGATGAGGTGATGTTTGTGATATGTACCCTGCTATAAAATGAATATTAAAGAATCAATAATAAAGAACAAAGGCAGTATGAACTTGTATTTTTTTTTTTAAATTTTTTTTTAATTGTAACATTATTCTTCTATCCTTTATCAGCCATTAGAGCGCAGGCACAGGCTCTCAACCAACTCACGCTGTCATCCTATTCCATTTTTGTTTTCCTAACACATGTAGCTCTGCTCACCTGATGTCCTCTTTATCTTTTAACCTGGTTTCCTTTCTCTTTTTTGTGGTTGTTGTTGATCTGCCTCTATTTCTATGTCCTTGTGGGTTCCAGTGCAAAATTCCCTCATCTGTATCTACACTGCTACCCCAGCAGATGTATATCTCCACATCTTGCAGTGGAATATTACCAGGACAAATTGGAAAATGGAAACTGGAAATGCTCTATTATGAATGGAATATTAAACAGTTTACATTAAAGTACAAGAACAGTATGTTATTGTATTTTATTTTTAGTATAACAATATTCATATCTAAATATAGTTTAGTTCTATTATAACAATATGAACATGTATTATTTAGAATTATTTTGTATACAGTACACATTACACTACATAAGAACAAGAAAATGTGAATAATTTTTAGAATAAATGCATCAAATGACTTTGAAATTCCAACGAAATAATAAAGATTAGGCTGGGTCATGGAAGAACAGCAAAATTTTTATCTATTACTTTTAAACCACATTAAAACATGAAATTAGTTAGTCTTTCCTCTAGGGCCTAGGGTGGTGCATAGGGCAGAGGTCTCTCTTGGTCTTCCCTGTCTTCTTCTTCTTTCGTTCGAATGAAATAAATAATCTATATCTGCAAAGCCGCCTCTTGTATGAATTTCACTGTCTTTTGTAATTCACTAAGCGGCCCGTAAAGTTTGACTTCCACAAGTGTCTCTTTTGGCCAAATGTTTTGCCTGAAAGCGTTGAATATGGGACAGTCTTGAAGGATGTGATCTGTTGTTTCAGGTGCCAGTCCACAAGTACACATGGCCGATTGGCCAATCTTAAATTTGTTGTACATGTGGGAGCGAAGTCTATTGTGCCCTGTTCTAAGGCGAAGGATAATAACTTGCTCTGGTCTGTCCATAATATGGTAATCATCTTGTGCCAGTTTCGGTGGCATTCTGATTGATTTGATCATTCTCTTCTTCTGTTGATAAGAGACTGGTATGTCAGGTTGTTCTTCAGTTGCACCTTCCTAAGCTAGTTTATCAGCATTTTCGTTTCCGGGAACTCCACAGTGGGAAGGTATCCACTGCATTACTAATTTACAGCGGTTGCCTAGTTCGGATAATAGTGTCCGTATGCTTGGTAATTTTCCAGACTGGAGTGACTGAAGTACTGCTTTTGCATCTGTCAGGAATACCACTGGTTGTGAAAAATACCCTGTATTTAGTAGTTTCTCTACCGCTATCTTGATGGCTTGAACTTCTGCATCATAGTTGTGACAGTGCTTTCCCGTTGGTAATTTGGCTGTATCCCTGGTATTATTAGGATACTCAATGTACACTCCCGCACCTCCGTTTCTGACTGCGCTTTCTGCTGACCCATCTGTGTAAACACGGACCCAAAGGTTCTGCGGGTATTCATCATCAAGTAAACTGAGGGTGGCTGTTTTGCGCTGCACACTGTTTTGTTCTTCCTTGTCAAATACTCCTTTCACTTCAGTCTTGATGTGTATTGGAAACTTATACTCCTCTCTCCAGGGGGTCCGTTCTGGGACAGCATTTAAGGATCTATCAGTTGCAGGCAAATCAGTGGTTTGGGGTCTTCCCTGTTTTTTTGTCACTTCAGGGGTCCATATGAGGGCCTTGATGGGGAAGTCTTATCCATTTGAGTGCATGGCCGATGTGGTTCCAGCAGCACTTTCTTATAAAACTGGATACATTGTCTTGCTTGGTCTCTTGTTTTATATGCGTATGGGAGTTATGATTCTGTCATTTACTGGTTCCTAGCTGATTAGCGATCTTTCGGATGTAGGTGACATGATGATAGCGACTGAGTTCGAATGGTGGTTGTCGAATCTTCCTGAATAAATTACGTGAACGAAGCATCATAACCTTTAGAGCTAGAAATGTTATTCTAAAACAAATGATGTTTTACAATGGCGGCTTATTGGGTCGTTGGTCAACAGTCTTAGGACAAGCTAGACGGAAACATGTCCCGACATCTTGACCCACACTGAAAACCAAACTATAACTAGGATGCGGAACAAGTGATATGGAGGAGTGAAGAAAGAAACAATCGAACACTGCGACCAAAGCTTTTATCCCTGAGCCCCACAACAACAGAAAGAGTATAGTGTCTGTGATAAAGGCTTCGGTTGAAATTTTCTATTGTTTCTGTGTCTCTCCACATCCCCCCCCCCCCCCCAATTGCCTTTCCATTTGTCTTTTGACCTTCCTAGACACTGTAATCTACTCACAGCGCATGCTGAGACAGGTGGAGACTGGTATGCTCTGTGAAGAGTGGCAAGCATCACTTCAGAGGTCCTGGGTAGTTAGCGTCCTTTGGATATTTTGCCTAGAATATGCTGGTGTATAAGAAAATCAACAGGCAGATAGACCGGCTGGTTCTGCACAACTTGGTGGTGAGTTATGCATGACAAGCTAGATGTTTTAAGGGCCTTTTAGGGGCGATGGAACAGTGCGGAAGCACAGATGGATCATCATGGTCTGAAAAGACTAGCACTGCGAGGAGTGACTAATGGATCTGGTCAACAATCAGCAGTCAAGGGAAAGGTGGGATGGATACACAATCGGATTGCTATTTGAATCAATGGAATTGGAACTCTGCGCTTGCAGCTGAAGATGGGAATGAAGCCCTTAAGGGAATGTCCCGAGTGCTGTGATGTTGATTCTTAATTAAGACACTGTTCAGTAAATTTCTTCGAAGTATATATCATTATGACCAATCAGAAAGCAACAACAAACTATTCAATGTAAAAGCAAGCCAAAATATGCTATTGTTAGTATGAAATGTCACATAAAGGATATGCAACTACTTTTTAAATGTGTGATTGGAAGGATGTAAGGGTTTCTCATATCTTTTGTCTGATTTACTGTCATTGTGTATTCTAAATTATCCTGATGTTGAATAATGAATATTTAACAACCAGAACAAGGGGGGAAAAAACAACCTTTTTTTTTCAAACTATGCAGCTATCAATCAATCAATCAATAGAGTGCCACCTGCACAACAAAGCTTGGCTGTGATGAATCTCCAACACACTATATCTCCTGCCTTGACAGTATGTTCCTCCACACTGCTGTCTGTCCATCTATTGCTGTTATCTTCCCACTTGTATTGATGTCCACCTCTTGTTCATTTGTCACCAGTTTTTCCCTCCAGTAAAGCTTTTCAAATGTGTTTTGGTCTTTTCATGTGGCAGAAGTATCTCAACTGTCTCTTTTCATTTATTTATTTCAGCAACTCTCTTTTCATTCCCAATCTCTTCAGAATTCCTGTGTTTGTTTTTGTTTCTATGCAAAACGCCATATTCTTCTGTATTACAAAGCTTTTATACAATGTTACAAAAGTAAATTAAAGGACCCTTTTCCACGCCTTTCAGGCGTTTTGGGCATATAGGGCTGGACCTATATTTTATAGACTAACGACACAAGATAGGTGATGTGGTCAGTATCATGCGGGCGCCTATACTTCCCAGGACTGCACCCGGTACCCACTCAAGGCTGGGTCGACCTGGGAGCCAAGGTCATTTCTGAAGAAAGTCTGGCTTTGCCAGGGAGCGAACCCAGGACCTTCCGATCCACAGGTGAGCATCTAGCCGCAACTCCACAGCAACTCTCAATGTTACAAGAGGACTTGTTATGTTATGTTACAAGAGGACAAACAAAAATATAAAGCAACAACTTTCTTTGTTTTCTTTTTCCAAACTATAACGATGTTATTTAATATCATAAAACAAATATTTCTTCTTCTTCTTTGCATTCAGCAGCTGTAAACTCTGGTGGAAAATTCTGTTTGCTCGTTCACTTCTGGACGGCAGTTCTGTTTCAGAACCTGAGTGTTACATGTGTATCCGTTTGACAGATGTGACTAATTTGTATGCAGACTATTGGTTCCTTGCCTCTCAGGCAGATACACTCCTACTTTGAAGGAACCTCCCAATAAGTCAACTCTTACGACATGCTTTTGGGTAGGCAGTGGGTCTATTCTTGTTTTCCCTATAAAAGGCTCTAGGAACTCACACAGGAAAAAAAAAACCAAATATTAAAAAATTAGAATTAGAATGACATTAATCAAAATGGTACCAGCTAAGGTGTGCTGGGAAATTATAGTCCAAATCACCAGCTTTCTATGTTTTACAAGTTTTCACTGTCTGTGTGTTTTCCATGATCCCATTTGGGAAAAGGGCAGGGGGGAGGGGGGGGGGGGGAAGAGAAAGCAACTCTGACTGATTGATTGGCATGTTGTAAAAAGTGACTAATTAGGGATTTACAGAAATTGGATACGTTTGATAAAAAGGCACAAATATGACAGACTAGCTGTAATTCACAACAATATGTGCCAACCGCCTTTCTAAGGGCAAACACAGAAAAAGAAAAAAGAAGAAAATATGAATCAAGGTGTTACCCGTTACAATACGGACCAATTATTGTGAGTGCTTGGAAATAGTTGCCCAAATCACCGGCCTTCAATCCTCTACAATTTTAAACAACTACTGCTCACTAAAAAAAAAAAAAATTTACTCGTAACAGCTCAAATGTGATACATGATCAAGTAAAATGTCTGTTATCAGACATCTGTGTCATACACAGTCATTCATCATCATGGGCTGGTGAGAATAACAACTCTCCTGGTGTGGAGAGGTCGCCACCTGTTTCATGAGCATTCTATGTTCTGGCAGCCTGGGTCCCCAGTTGGCAGCTGGTCTTGTCAGTTTCTTCACAACCTGACGAGTTAATATGCAAGACTTTTAACAAGTAAAAGAGAAATGACGCTTTTCATGACAAAATGACCTCGGCTATCAGGTCAACCCAGCCTTAAAGGGGTACCAGGAAAATTCCTGGGAAGTAGAGGCGGCTGGCGTGATGCTGACTATATCAGCCACCCAGTGCCAACTGGTCTAAACAAATATATGCCTGAATGTGTGGAAAAGGGATCCTTTACTGACTTTTCATGACACCCAGGTAAAGGGCGCACAATCCAAACTGCACATTTGTGGACCAGAGCTTTCAACAGGTAATGTGGCAAACATGACGTCAGCCAGCTTTACTTTCCAGGATATTTCTTTGTCCCCACTTTAGGCTGGGTTGAGCCAAGGCTAATTATAAAACCACCCCACACCCCTTCCCAAAAAGTGGAACCAAAGAAATTATGTATGAAAATGGTAGAAGCTGCAGTAGTCTAGAGGCTAGATGCTCGCCTGCCGGGTCAAAGGTCTTAAGATTGTATTCACACAGGGATACTTAAGGGCGCTAAGATTGTATTCACACAGGGATACTTAAGGGCGCTAAGATTGTATTCACACAGGGATACTTAAGGGCGCTAAGATTGTATTCACACAGGGATACTTAAGGGCGCTAAGATTGTATTCACACAGGGATACTTAAGGGCGCTAAGATTGTATTCACACAGGGATACTTAAGGGCGCTTTGATTGTATTCACACAGGGATACTTAAGGGCGCTAAGATTGTATTCACACAGGGATACTTAAGGGCGCTAAGATTGTATTCACACAGGAATACTTAAGGGCGCTTTGATTGTATTCACACAGGGATACTTAAGGGCGCTAAGATTGTATCCACACAGGGATACTTAAGGGCGCTAAGATTGTATTCACACAGGGATACTTAAGGGCGCTAAGATTGTATCCACACAGGGATACTTAAGGGCGCTAAGATTGTATCCACACAGGGATACTTAAGGGCGCTAAGATTGTATTCACACAGGGATACTTAAGGGCGCTAAGATTGTATCCACACAGGGATACTTAAGGGCGCTAAGATTGTATCCACACAGGGATACTTAAGGGCGCTAAGATTGTATTCACACAGGGATACTTAAGGGCGCTAAGATTGTATTCACACAGGGATACTTAAGGGCGCTAAGATTGTATTCACACAGGGATACTTGTAAGGGCGCTTTGATAACAACTGATGAATGGACTAAAGTAACCGTTAACTAGGACTTAAGATAGCAAACAAAGTTAACAATCAAGAAAACATGAGCCACAGTTAGTTAACATGTGTCTGGGGTGATGTGGGAAAATGTGGGAAGTTATTCACATAGGCACCATAACCAGGCAGCTCTGTTCCCTTAAACCTCCCCCCCCCCCCCCTCATATATTTGGGAAAAGGGGGGGGGGTGGGTTCCCCCAGCCATACTTGTCATTCAGAACAATAATACAAATAAAATAATAATTAGGTACTGAATATCAAATAAATATTAAATTATAGATCAAATAATGTGAAATGTACAAACAAATACTTTAAAAGATCATTTCTATACATGATTAGAGAGCCCCTGAGGTATCCCCAGGGATGGCGTGGTTGGGGATGGGAATGTTTGGCTATCTTCCGAATAACAGTCCCAAATTATCGAGGCAGAAAATATACCCTAACAGGGCCTCAGACACCTGTAAATTGTGTACCTCTGGGGACTACCACCGTCGCCGAATTGCGAACTTCCGGGGACTTCCGCCACCGCGGAGAGTATCCCCCCCACGCCGCTCACCCGGCGTGGATTCGGGCTAAACTAGATAGCTAAGACTCACGAGCAAATAAAATGAAGGCAGCTGCAGGAAATGCGGTTGCTGCTGCTCGTGAGTCCCAGCCATTTAGTATAGGGATAATCTCGCCGGAAGTGGGCTATTGACATGTGACTGAGGCCCTGTTAGGGTATATTTTCTGCCTCAATAATTGTGGACCGTTATTCGGAAGATAGCCGAATGTTTTATGAAATTAGTTCTTCTATCTCCAATTTTACAATTACAACATTTGTAAGGTGGGAGCAGGTGTTTTGGAGGGGGTTGAGGTGCCTCCCCCCTTCCACGTTAACTTGCTGTGGCACGTCTGAGTTGGTAGGTACATAATCAGTTAATTCAGCATGCAAAGTCATCATAATTTACAATCAACAGCTACAAACATTACCTCCACTAGCCCACCATTTGAAGAGTTCCTCAGTCCAGCGACCACTTTCCAGGCAGCTACTATGGGTATCAACATGACCGAGCTCAGGGTTATCATTATGCCAATACCATCAGCCCAGACGGGGAAGATGTAGTCTCCACACTTTGTGTGGTCAAAATCGATCCACGTGAAAATTAGGATTGCCTTGAAAGAAAACAGTTATTTAGTCAACAGATCACCCTTACTGTACATCAAAATAATTAATGCATTTGTGGCAGGGGCAAACCCAGCTATACAAAGGATAAGTTAAGGCAAGTCAATGAATTTATACATGGGATATCTAAAGTCAATGATCTAGAAACTTGCGGGCTAACTAAGATTGGAACCCAGTCATAAATTAACAGAGGCAGGACAACAAACAAAGGCAACAACACAAGATTTCCTGGGGTTTTTCCATCCAATTATGCAAAGCGGCTTGGAAAGCCATCTTGGCGGGAAAGAGAAAGGATAATGAACTCAGGTACAAAGGAGAGAGTTGGAACCTAGTAGCATGAGGAGTATATACTCTGCCAGCGAGTATGCAGGGAGACACTTGTGCTGAGACCGCTGCCAACAAAGGGTGCTGTGGGCGAATAGACCCATTTTCGGATGTTGTCGATATGATGGAGCTGAGTCCATACTTCTGTTGTGGAACTTGCCAGATAGTGCATGAACCATTTATGAATGTTATGTGACATGGCCGTTTCTGTCATGGTTGTACTGGGTTGGCAATAGGATAGATGGTCTCTATACTGCAATCGGCAGTATGGTTAGATGGTAGTCGGTATTTAGAAATAGAGTAGATGGCTAGATTGTAGTCGTTATTTGGCTTATTATTTGTAGAGCAAAGAAGGAGATTCTATGCATCACTTGCTAGTTTAGTGTTGAGTAGAGTAGATTCTGCTGTCAGTTGCTGAGTTTTATAGTGTGAGGACGTTATGTTTATAACTTAGTGTAACATCTTTTGCATCAAGGTCATCTTGGTTGTGTAATATGAGATATATGACTTTGTAATTCTGTTTCTTAATAAACGTGATTGTTAGTTATTATTCTTTTATTCAATCATTAGTTTGTTGAGTACAGGAGTGGTACTATTTTTGTTAGTTGCTGTAGTCTTTATACTACCACTTTACTATATGTCTTTCTTTCATTCCTCCACTGACTATTACCTGATCGTTTGGGGTGTAGACTTATTACTACACTCTCCACACAGGAGAACCTATTGTCCTCTTATACATCCTTTAACTATTATTTCTTCTCATCTGTCTCTCTCTCTACTTTTTTGTTCCTCTATCCCCCCTTTAAAATGTATCCTGTTACACATTAGTGCATCATCAATCATCACCAGTTCCCATGGAGAGGAACAATTTGTGACTACGACTTGATGGGCAGCAATAGCTGTTGTCATTCCGTGCCAGTGCAGAAGCTCTTTGATGTCATCAATCCATGTTCTCCTAAGGCGGCTTCTTGGTTCCACATCAGATCTATTCATGTGTAGTGCCTTTTTTGGTAGTTGTTTTGGCTGCATTCTTACTGGATGACCAAACCATTTTATTAATAATAAAATCGCTGCAGTGTTGTTTCCATGGTGGGTCTAATAATATAATTTCCAACTTTTTCTCAGATGGTTCAGTTGGCAGCTTTTCCCTCTTCTCGGTAGCTCCCATAAAATTTAGCAGCTGACAGCAGCAGTTCTCTATTGGTTTATTCTTCTTCTTTGGCATTATGCTCCAGGCCCAAAAAAATTCCTGACTTGCTGTTCCTCCAGCTTTGTTATCACAAATGACATGACTACACATTAGGCATTTCCAAGCGTGCTCAGTCCCCTGATGCAGCAGATACTCTAAGGTACCTCTGACTATTGTTACCACGAGGAGTTGGTTACAATGTCTCCTATACCAGCCTAAAATGCAGCATAGACCTGCTTCATCATGTATTACTCCCAGGACATGCAACTGTGTTAGTGTCAGAGATTTATCACTATCCCCTATCCCAGTTCATACAGTCTGGTTATGGTTGCAGAAAACAATTAACCACATTTAATTTTTACATGTAGTGGCATCCGTGGCTTAAATGTTTTGAGTCCGACTCGTAATTCCAATGTACCGCGATCGAAACCCACTGCTGGCTGTGTGGATTGTTATCATGGTATGAGGCGTCGCAGGTCGACCCAGCCTAAAATGGGTATCAGGATGGCTGTCCTGGGGAAGTAAAGACAGCTGTCATAATGCTGACCTCATTACCCACCTAATGTTGATTGGTCTGTAAAAATATGGGGTGCTCTTCCCATATGCCCGATGCGCTTAAGGCGTGTAAAGGGATCTTTACGTTACTTTACTTTACTTACTAATGTTTACGTATAAAAAACAGGGAGCCAGCATATGAAGCCATAGTTCCCAGAAGTAGTTGTAGCATAGTGGATAGTAAGCTTGATCCTAAATTAATAGTTAGTTGCGTGTCTTTTACAGGACACAGCAGAACCAACCCCAGTATTTTTTGGCTGTTGTTTTTTCCTAGACAAATTTCCTTTGTGAGACTTCTGGTATATTTTTTAGAAAATGTGCGGTGAGAACTAGCACTTTTGTCTGTTAAAAAAAAAGTTTTGATATAATCCAGACATAGTCATATTTCAACTTTCTCTCTAATGCTGGTATTCGTAACCCTGTCTTGTCTAGTGTTGTTAGTGACACTGCAGAAACAGTGCATTTTGCATGTAATTATTGTCTGTTTTGGAGCCCTATTAATCGTCCATGTTTGGCACTGATAACATAAACTAAGGATAAATATGCTATTAATCATTTGCTGTTTTGCTGGAAAGGAGACATTTGGGTGTCTATGCAGTGGGGCTAACTGACAGGTGACAGCATTTGCCTTCTGTACTCTGGCTTCTATCTCTCTTTTGAGTCCTAGATATATGAATACTCATACTTGTTTGATTGTAGTACCGTCAACATGAATGTTCATGATGTTTCCTGCTTATCCTCATTACCTCAGTTTTTGCTGTGTTTATTCTCATGTCATACTTTGTGCAGGCTTGATGTAAGGAGTCAATATGGTGTTGTAAATTCTGTTATTGGTTGTGTATCAGACACTAATCATCTGCAAAAAGAAGTTCATTGATTTCTGCAGTGTCTGTATTTGCCTCCTGTGATATTCTATCCATGTAAATAATGAATAGCAATGGTAAGAGGACACATCCCTGTTTAACACCTGATGAGATGGGAAACCAGTCTGTTATTCCTTCTGTTGTTTTTATTGTGCATTTACCCAAAAGCTGATCTTGAATACTATAATCTTCTAGAATTTTCTATAGTTTGCATCTGTTGACCTGATCCAATGCCTTTTCTTGATTTATAAAGATGATTTTTATCATATTCAATGCTGCGATGATAATATCTTAAATAATAAAATCAACAAGGCCTGCACATATCCTTGGTTCTGCTTGTGAGTAAATTGTATTGCAGTGAATTAGACTAGTCTGACAAAAGAATTAAACATGAACTGTCATGCAGGTTACTTGCCTGTAACAAATGCTTTAATGAGTCCTTTCGAAGTTAACCTTGTTGAAGAATGCCACTAGTACCAGACGAGTTCACCCACAACAAACCAGAAAAGCAAATTCATAACTATGAAAATGAGGTCTGAGAAGGACTAGGACTGACAAGAAGAAATAAAATCAGGAATAAGGTCACAAGGGAAAAAGCCAGCAAACAACCAATTTTAAATTACATACAAAGACAACAAATTAAATGGTTTGCTCATTTAGAACACCCCAAACCAACCCCAGCTTTTGTTGGCTGTTTGTGGTTTTATTAAGAAATACAAATTTTTTTTAATGCATAATTTATTATCAAAATTAATCATGTTTATTTAATGTAGCAAAACTGTTACCATCAAGGCTGCCGGGGCTACAAATCTCCAACTGATGGCCCAGATTTTACTTGGAGACTTGCCAAGCATAAGCTTGATGTCATCAAACATGCGGTCTGTGCCTGAAAGTGAGCAGCAAAAACCTTGTGTTTTGATATCTGTTAGTAACAACATGTCAAAATCAACATTACAGGGCAAAATCATAACAACAGAGATAGTATGTCTTAGAACAGGGCTATTCAACTGGTGGCCCGCGCACCAAATCATGTCCACAGAGGCCTAGCAAGTGGCCTGCTGATCACTGTCAATTGTACTGTATTAATGATCTTTCTATGCTAGGAATCTGGCCTCTGACTGGTGATGCTCCCCATTTTCAACATCCTGGCCCTTGAGTAAACTTAGATGAATAGCTCTGTCTTAGAAAAACTGTCAGAGTAACAAGAAGGGGAACATTAGAAACGAAGAAATCAGAAGAAGACTAGAATGGAACCAGTCAAAGTTCATTAAAGAATTTGGACTGCATCTGCCTGAGAGGCAAGGAACCAACAGTCTGCATAAAAGTAAGTCAGATCTATAAAAGGGATGTTCACGCAACACTCAGGTTCTGGAACAAGTGCAAAGTCCAGAGGTGGATAAGCGGCTCTCCTAGCAGATTTGGCCGGTAAGCTGGACTGCTTCGGCCGGCTTAGCGGGGCTTAGTGGGAGTTATGTCCCTTGGCCAAACTCAAAACAACTCAAAACAAGTCGCGAATCAAATTACATACTTACCTATCATCATCCGGGTGCGTGTAGGGTTGCGTAGGGTGTCTATCATCGTCCTACGGTTACGTGTAGGGCTGCTTATTGCGTGTAGGTTGGTTGTTTGCGTAAGATGAGGGGTAGGGTTAGGGTTTAGGGTTAGGGTTAGGGTTTAGGGTTAGGGGTTAGCTTTAGGGGTTAAGGGTATGGTTGGATTTGAAAATTTTCACGTAGGAGGTAGAAATAGTGGCAGACAATCTGATGTTTGTGGGAGTGGCGCCACTGAAAATCTGCCAAATATGACGCCGTAGTTACCTATAATCGCGCTCAGTCGCATGCACGCGCAAACAGTCGACGGACAGTGGATGCTACTGACACAGACAATTCGCCAGCGCCTGGGCACCAGCCGCCCGCTATTGGCGTCATATTTGACAGTTTCAGTGGCGCCACTCCCACAAACGTCACATTGTCAGCCACTATTTCGAACTCCTACGTGAAAATTTTCAAATCGAACCATTCCCCTAAACCTAAACCCTAACCCTAAACCCTAACCCCTAAACACTAAACCCTAACCCTAAACCCTAGACCAACCTACACGCAATAAGCAGCCCAACACGCAACCGTAGGACGATGATAGACACCCTACGCAACCCTACACGCACCCGGATGATGATAGGTAAGTATGTCATTTGATTCGTGACTTTTTCCGCGACTGGTTTTGAGTTGTTTCGAGTTTGGCGAAGGGACGTAACTCCCACTAAGCCGGCCGAAGCAGTTTAGCTCGCCGGCCAAATCTGCTAGGAGAGCCGAAAGATGGAATGGCAGCATCATCAGCAGCCTCAAAGAAATAACGATCAGCTTATTCAATCAATCAATCAAGTGCCATTTCCACAACAACAAAAAACCATGCATGATTACCTGTCGTTACATCAACCAGTACAAAATGCGAGTTGTTGGCTTAAAAAACACTATGAGACATACTCAGGAGGAGAGCGGAACACTTGTTGAAACAGGAACAGTGCGCAAATTGCGTATGAATAAAAAGTCAACAACACTCTAGAACCTTCTTTTCCTGCCAAAACTAACTAGTGACAGAATTAGTTCACATTGACCTGATGTCGTTTGGCCTTGGTCTTTTTTCTAGAAGTTTCATCATGTGACCCAACCTTGCCGTACTTATAAATACCTTGTTGACGAAAATATTCAAAACTGTATTGGGTTATTGTATTTTCGATGCACAGTCGCCAGTGTTCCCGACATTCCTCGTATTTTCTAGAACAATCTGCAGATAGCGCTATATAAAGAGAGCTCCTGGTCGGACAGACTCAGACTTGGGCAAACTTAAAATAGGCAGACTTAGAGGGTAGAAGGTAAAGACAGGGGGCCTAGAAATACTCTAGAGTAAGTTGGAGGATGATAGAAGGGTGATGGAGTAGTCACAGTATATTTGCTTGAACTAAAGAAACGTTCCCTTCATAGTTTATATTGGGGAAACTGTTTTAATATTGGTAGAGTTGAATTGCCTTTGTCATTTTTTGAAAGTTGAAATTAATAATTTCCTAAATTTAATAAAAAAAGTTATTAAACAAACTGTTATGATTCATCTAAAGCTGTATGTAAGATGGCATGATGGCCTTTGTGATATGGTGGTTGTAATAAGGGATGAGATTGGAGAGGAAGTGTTTCCATTGCAGGACGTTGATTTGGAAGTGGAAATAGTACAGCTGCCAGGTGATGAAGAAGCTGAGTCAGGCGTATAATTAGACAAGGAAGTAGGTGAAGAAGAGGGAGAAGGGGTGGAACAATGATATGCCATAGTACAGCTAAAAGTTATATTAGGAAGACCCTGTTTCATTATGGTCATGTCCGATGTGCAATGAAAATGATCTTTAGATGACAATGAACAATGATACTGACCATAAACCCATGACAGGGCAAGACATTCAATGAGTCCAATGGCCAACAAGGAATATGTTGCAGCATAGTTATCAAAAAGCTGCACCACATACATACCACCCTGCAGATACAAGAAAATAGATTTTCAAGAATGTTATCCATTCCATCTTCTTGTTAAAGATTTAAAGAAAAATGTTACTAATTCATAACAATAAAAAGGAAACTGTCGTCCACACATCCCTGAACTGTAATTATCCCTGATTTACAGGACAATAGCACCACACATCACAGGACACAGACATCCATATATCACATGACAACATCATAGTCACATCACAGGACACTAGAATGATCACATCACAGGACATTAGCATGATCACATCACAGCACACAGACATCCATATATCACATGACAAAAGCATGATCACATCACAGGAAACCGACATCAAAGTCCAGAAGTGTACGAACAACCAGAACTTTTCACCAAGAGTTTACAGCCAGTGAGCGTTAAGGAGGAGAAGAAAATGATGACGAAGACCCTATTACCTTAACGTTTCATACCTGGGTGCAGAATGACAGCCCAACAACGTAGCCAACTACGCTTATAAAAATAAGTAATGCAGATGAGTTCCTTCTTGAGCGAAACAATTCTGGAAACTGATCAAGGATGGTGGTGTGCACTGTCGTCACTGTTGCAATCTGAAAACAAAGGTCAGTACATTTACATTTTTCTCTTATCACTATGCCGTCACTACAATGGAGACTAGCTGCAATGCATCTACTACTAACTATAGGAATTTTATGTGCCGAGGCACTAATCTCTTTCATAGTGTTATTCTCATCCCACTTCTCCTGCATTCAAGATCGCTACAATGCTGCCAATGACCCTTGAAAATGGATGGCCAAACAACAGGGTCGCTGGAGAAACGTGATACTGGGCAATTCTAGGCAAACAGAGCTGCGGAATAGCACTCATTCCGTGTTTCTGCTTTCAACTGATTCTCTCAAAGTTGTGATAAGAAACCTGTGTCTGAAAGCCAAGAGAATGAACTTTTTTAAACAACCCACAGCAGCAGGGATCCAACCCTAGTGAATGTCCTGTACTGCATTGTGAAATGATTTCACTCACCTCTAAGCTAACAAGCTGCACACATTTGTAGTTTATTATTATTATAATACAAATAACTGTCACTACTGTTTGTGTGTGATTAGTAATTCGAAAGTATTATCATCACAGCACTCGGGTCGGATCCATAGGTGCTCCGATCTCCTCTTCAAAAGCTCCACAAGTGTAAAACGATTGATGACGCCTGTTCTGTGTTGATTAATGAAACGTCTTGTCACCTTAGTGAAATGTTCATTTCTTTCAGCTCCAGGCTGCACCCCCATGTCCACCAGTCTACACAGGCATACACATCACAGGACATTAGCATGATCACATCACAGCATGTCTCCATGTCTGTGTGTATCACTCTTTAGTGCCGTGAAGACAGGGGGTCGTGAGCCTTAAGATTTAGGGCTGCACGGCTAGTGCTGTCACCTGGGACTGTACAGGTTAGGATGTTTGATTCTGACTCCAACAGAAAAACCATCACCTTACTGGGGATCACACCTTGGTCTTTCGCATGAAAACTGGACGTTGTAATTATACAAATGATGGAGGAAAAATCAGTAAGTGATGGAAAAACAAGAATAGACCCAATTGCCCCCGTGACAAGCATGTCATAAGAGGCAACTAGTTAGGAGTTTCCTTTAAAGCCGGAAAGCGTCTGCCTGAGAGGCAAGGCACCTCTACAATCTGCATATAAATAGGCCAGATTTGTAATACGGATCTGCATACAGCACTTAAGTTCTGGAATATGACTGAAGTCCATAAGTTTAGGAAGAACCAGAACATTCCACCAGAGTTTACAGCCGGTAAACGTGAAGAAGACGAACAAGCAAGCACAATTACAAACTGAAGTTAGTTGCAATTCTTTTTCAGGTCTTAGCAAACCAGCCCCAACATTTGTTGGTACTTGTCTAGTTTTTACTTAGCAGGTTTACATTCAGCAGTTTGCCATTTCTTTCTGCTACCAAACAACTAGTTCAATTTATTTTAAATCAGGTGAAAAAAAAAAAAAAAAATCTAGGTCTATGACCCATAGGTCAGATAGCTACTGTACTACTCAAATTACATTAAACCTTATGGTCCCCCCCCCCCCCCAAAAAAAAAAAACCTTTTTTTAAAATGCCAGTTAACAAAATGGAGATTTACACTCAGACAATCAAGGCAACTAAATCATTAGTGTAGTGGCTGGATTCTCACACTGTGACCTAAAGGTCTAGGGTTCAAATCTGCCTTGTGGTGGACTGTTTTCAAAATGACCCATCCCCGCAGGTCAACCAAATCCGACACAGGGTAGTATCCTGAGACGTAAATGTGACTGGCTTAATGCTGACCACATCGATCAAAGAGTGCCAAATTGTCTATAAAAATATGTCTAGCACTATATGCCCAATGTGTCAAAGGCATGAAAAAGAATTAGTTACCCCCCTTTTGTTTTTTTCACTATTCTAGTATGGGTCTATAAGAATGTCATGCCTCCTGAAGTTTTCACTGGTGCCAAAGTTTGGTTTGCAGTGCTGCTCCTACGTGCTAGATTCCTTCTAACCTGCAAGATATATCAATCCTGGGGGAGGTTTGCTTCGGTGCACCACAATGACATATGGCAGTATGCAATGTATGTGTGCTCTGAGTTTGCATGATCCTATTCTGAGTGAATACTGTAGCCTGTGTGTTTCTGGCAGGTCTTTTTATACTGTCATGCTCTGTTTTTGGGTCTTCTTTCCTGTTCATCTTCACTTACTGCTTCAAGAGTGGCTTTGCTGAACCACACACACACAAATCAGTCAGAACAGTATCATGTCATCAGCGGTTTCAATTTCACTGCAGACAGGCCATCCCATAACTTTTCTAACCTTGTGCCAGTACACAAACTGCCCTTCATTGACCCACTTGAAAACTAGGAAACAATTAGCCGCCCACCCCCAGTAAAGTCCAGAAATATGCACAAGCAGTAAAGGCATAAGGCAGCTGCCAGAGATGACAATACCAACAGTCATCACTGCAGGTGTTGAAGGAGGTAGTCAATCATGACAAGCTGGCAATAATACTGCACAAGGCACCCAGTTAGCCCAAATGCAAGCTAGTCACCTGCCATTTTCTGAATGTCATGACACAAAACCATCGTGGGAACAGACAAAAGATATTCCATAAAAATAACACACCTCACAGTGTTGCACCAAGCACTTAACTCAGGATTTTTGACAGTGCAACAGTGGATACTGGTTCATGTATACAAACTGTGTTAGCAAAAAGCACTTCAAGACGTTAACGGACTGCCTACCTGTCTGCAATAATGGACGTCTCCCAAATACTTTTGTATCTTAGATAATATACATTCTTTGTTTTTTTTGTCTCACTGATACCAAGTTGTAGCCCAGTGTCAGGTTTTTTTTTTGCATTTGTTTTGTGGCTCTCAGATGGCTCAGGTGATGGATTTGTTCATCTTTCTGCAGGATTCCGCACCATCATTTATCCATATCTTTTTTGGTCTTCCTCTCACCTTCCTCCCAAATGTTCTGCTCTGAAAATTCAATATGCAGTTTGGCTGCAAAAAGTGACTCTTTGTCTGTCAGTATAATTCTTCTTTTTCTTCTTTGTTCACCGGCTATTAGCCTTGGCAGAAAGTCATGGTTGTTCGTACATTTGGACTTTGATGTGCACCAGGGTCTGAGTTTTGTGTGTACATTTGTTTTACTGACTTAATGTGTGTGCAGTTGGTTGTTCCTTCCCGCTCGGGCAGATGCACTCCGAATTTGAAGAAAGTCCCCAGTTAGTCGACTTCTTAGACGTGCTTGCTTGAAAGGCAGTGGATCTATTCTTGTTTTCTACAAAGTAGGGCACAGGAACCCACAAGGGGACAGTATAATTCAGACACTGTCTTATTCCAACAGTCTCTATAATGCTGGTATCGTTTACCTGGGTGCCGAGACCTAATGTAACCAGCATGGCAAAAAACAGCAATGACCACAACTGGGAAACTGGAAGCTTGGTGACCACAGCTGGGTAGATGACAAATGCCAGGCCTGGTCCTGTGGGTAACAATGAAAAGGCGATGACTTAACAACACAAAAACAGAAATAAAATACAATATAGAATAATCTTCTTCTTCTTGTTTTCTCTACTCCTGGAATGTCTTGCAGCGTCAGGACAGGAAGAGATCTGTTTGCTCTGTATATAGTACTTTTCTGTGTCTCCGATATTTCTACGGCCCATCTTCTGCATGGTCTCCTCTGGCTACGTTACCGCAGCATCTGTTTAACACTGCTTCCTGTGGTACCCTCTCTGTTGCCAATATTGTTACATGGTCAAACCATTTGATCTGTTGTCTAACGATGAAGTTCAGTATTGGGTTTTCATTTGACTGGTGTCTTGTCAGTTGCACGCTATAGAATTAAACAAGATGATGCAAAACAAATAAACTGAAATACAACCACACATCATACACAAATGTAACTCCACGTAAATGTAAGCTTACACTGTCCCTTTGCCTGCACACCAATGAGCAAGAGTGATGAAACAGCTTGGCTTCAGCAAAAAATGAAACCACTGTCAACTATTCACTGTAATTATCTATCTATATCCCCTTCACATCTGCTGATATGAAGCATTCCCAAGTGATCTTCCCTGATGGTGGTCTGCTGCTTTTCCGTCCAAGGTATCGCATATCAGATTAGACTGTGAGCTCTGTCTGATGTACTAAGCATAACATGATGAGAAGTGTGTTTACTAGGTCATTATCATTATGTGCCCTGCCAACCGGCGTAGACGCTCATGCGTCTCCACAGATCATGATCCCTGGTTGCCTGGACCAGCTCTCTTGATGATATCCCTCCATTCCATCGTTTCAGCCCATCCAGCATCATCTCTCTTGGTCTGCCTCTACCTCTTTTTCCACTGATCTTTCCATTTTTCACGATGTTCTCCAAAGACTCTCTTCTTATTATGTTGAAAAAGAACAGTGTTTGTCTCTTTTTTGTGAGTACTAGGTACAGAGTAATAAACAAATATGTACTGACGTGACTGGTCCCCGGAAGAGTTGCCTGTCTCAGAAAGCTGTTGAAAAAAACAAATGGTAGGGCATTATTCCGAACAATGTGAAAAAGGAAAATAAGGAAAACCTACCAAGCAGCTATACAACTGGGAAGAAATATCAGATAAACTGGGCTGGTCACCTAGCTCGCATGTGCCACCACCTGCTTTTGAGAATTTTTTTATGGCAAACTCCAGGATGGGAAAAAATCTCCAGGAGAATGGAAAAAAAAATGCTATAAAGACCCTCTTGAAACTGTTCTTAAATCTTTTGCCATTAAGACAGAAACATCAGAGGTAGCTGCACAAGCCTGATCTTGATGGTGTACAGTGTAATAAAAAAAAAAAGTAAAGGACCCATTCCACGCCTTCAGGCGTATAGGGCATATAGGGCTAGACCTATATTTTTATAGACCAACAGCACAAGATGGGTGATGTGGTCAGCATCCCGCCGGCCGCCTCTACTTCCCGGGATTGCACCCGGTACCCACTCAAGGCTGGGTCGACCTGGGAGCCAAGGTCATTTTTGAAGAAAAGTCCGTCTCCGCCAGGGAGCGAACCCACGACCTTCCGATCCGCGGCGAGTGTCTAGCCCATGGCGACTCCCATGGTGTACAGTACTCAAGCCATAATCATTGATCATGGACAACTTTCAGATGCTAAGTGGTCTTCATCACAGACCTATTGCCACCCCCCCCCCCCCCCACCTACAAACATGTTGTGAAAAGGCAACTAATTAAGAAAGTTTCCTTCAATGTCAGATAGCATCTGCATCAGAGGCAAGGAACCAGCAGTTTGCAAATGAGAACGTTCTGCTTGAATTTACAGCTGGTGAAAGCTAAGAAGAAAAAGTAGAAGTAGAAGAAGAAGCAGAAGAAGAAGAAAAAGAAGAAGACAGTGGACGAACAGCACATTATAAAAGAATTAACATGCCTCATTACTGAATTATTTCAAAAAGCTCTTAGCGTCCCTCACCATCAGTAGCAACAGTGTCCACCGATTGCTGTAGCTCATGAGACATGTAGCCAATGATTGAAAAGATGACAAAGCCAGCAAACACACTTGTCAGGCAGTCCAGGATGGATACAAGGACAGCATCACTGGAATGAGATAGCAGGTACAGCTTTTGTCATGCTTTCATGTTTATGGTAAACTTCTTATTGATTGTGCAAACTATCAGTATGTTTTCTAGTGTAAAAGGTTAAAATAACTTAATAATCTTCTACTTCATGTTTGTCAACTGTAAACTCTGGCATCAGAGTTTAAATATCTTGGAACATTCACTGAAGATGGTAATTTGGATGAAGAAAGTAAAGATGGCCAAGCATTGGACATCTGCCCTCCCCCCCCCCCCCTTTCCTCCACAGCATAAGGCAATCCCAATCAGCACAAAGAGACATCTCATACAAAGCGTATTCATTCCCACCCTATGCTGTCAGTGTCAGACATGGTGACTCACAACATAGCATAAAAGAAAATTAGTAACTATGGAAATAAGGTGTATGAGAAAGACTGTAGGAGTGATCAGAAGAGATAAAACCAGGAATGAGGTCATGTGAGATAAAGTCGGCACAGAATCAATTCTAAATTACAAAGACAAAAAATCAAACAGTTTGCCCACATGAAGAGAATGCCTTCTGATGCTATACCATACAAGGCATATACCAAAAGAGGAGAGGGATGTAGAGCAAGAGGTAGACCAAGAACAAGATGGGAAGTTAACATAAGAGAAACTCTACAGCAACACGATGTGTCTATGGTCGAAGCATCCAGAAGAGTACGAAGTAGGACCTTATATCTCCCTTGATGCCAGAAGAGGTAAAAGAGGACATAAAGAAGAAGAAGAAACTCTGGCAGGTAGTTCTGGTTAGGTTGTTCATCCAGTTCTGGACTCAGGTCTTGTTACAGGAATTTAGTTTTGTGTGTACATCAATTTAACAGATCTAGCTTTTATGTACGCAGACTGTTAGTTCCTCTCCTCTTAAACACATCAACACCGACTGTGAAGGAAACATCCCCAGTTAGTCCACTTTTATAAAATGTTTGTTAGGGGGCAGTGGGTCTATTCTTTTTCTTCCCACAATGTTGCCCCAGAACCCACAAGGGGTGCTTAATAACGTTACTTTTAACTATTCAAATATTCACCCATTCTCTCTCTTTTTTTTTTTTTTAGTTCTTTTTAGTGTCCACCTGCTGCAAACTCAGAATGTTCTGTTGTTCATCCAGAATGTTCTGTTGTTCCTCCAGAATGTTCTGTTGTTCCTCCAGAATGTTCTGTTGTTCCTCCAGAATGTTCTGTTGTTCCTCCAGAATGTTCTGTTGTTCATCCAGAATTTTATGTTGTTCCTCCAGAATGTTCTTTTGTTCCTCCAAAATGTTCTGCTGTTCATCCAAAATGTTCTGTTGTTCATCCACTGCTGGACCGTTGTCTTCTTTCAGGGCTTTAGTGTTGCATGCACATCCATTTTACAGATGTGGCTTATCTGGTTCCTCACCTCTCCGGCAGACGCATTCCAACTCTGAAGATAACTGTCGACTTTATCTATAATAGCCAGGTCTTCAGTTATGAACCTGTTTTTCTGATGACCACGGAGATCGGTTAGGTTTAGACGACGAATCAACACCGTGACATAAGAGTAGCAACCCATAAGTGCTCCAAACTACTTCTAACTCAAGCCTGAGTCTGAAGAATCTCAGCACAATGCACGAACTCCGTAGCATCGGTGAGAATCCTGAAATACTTTGGGTAGATTTTCAACTCTAAATTTTGCCCAGGCCCTGCTATTATGCTACTCTTTTCGATTTCCAATTGCCAAGGGATGTTTTACAACAATACGCATGGGAGTCCGATCTTACTACCCAGAGACCAGGAGAAATTACTAGAAGCCAACGTGAAAAAAATCCCAGCCTTCACCGGGACGCCATGCCTCGAGACCACACATGGAGAGTTGTTGATAAGATCCTGACCGGTATGAGCCCTATTCCTGGTTTAGCACTTGTGTAATAATAATACTTCTATCACACATGCCCCTCATATAATTCATTACAACATTTCGGTAAGTAGATTTTTGTATATGTCATATTTATATATTTTCTACAATTCTGCGTATAGGTGTCAAGACCGCTATTTGCTACTATTACATGAGACATATACTATGCAACACGTTCAAATATCTATCCAGATTTCTTACATTAGCTAAAACTGAATGTAAAAGACAATAATATGTAACATCCACTCTGCTGTTTGATACAGATAGTCAGTAGTTGATCGCACACAGTACGTTGCCTGAGAACGAAAATTTTAAATTTGTTTTTGTCCCAGGATATGCTTGCATCAAGGGCAATGGTAATGGCTGGTAATGCAATTATCAAGAATGTGCCATCTATGGACAGGAGACACATCATCAATGCCATAAGAGAGTAAAACATTGTGAGGCTTTCAGTTTTGTGGAAAACGATTCTTCACTGACTACACTGCATGGCCTAGGTGTACCAACTCAATATACCAAATGGCCCTGAGTATACCAAATGGCCCTGGATATACCAAATGGCCCTGGGTATACCAAATGGCCCTGGATATACCAAATGGCCCTGGGTAAACCAACTGGAGCAGTGAGACAATGAAACCATGGGGGAGCTGCTCGTCATTACATCATCCAGAACATAATGGGAGCTGTTAGCCTTAAACACTTGGAAACAAACTCAGAAGGAGATTGGACATCTATGATCATGTCCAATGAAGATATCTTGAAATGAACAATAAAGAATTAAAGAAATGCTATCAAAACAGTTTTCACGCCCTTGTTAACACATTTCACAATGTTGTTGCACACGTCTGCCAGTTTTACATGTAACTCTACTTACAACAGGCAGTTGTTGTGAAACTTGTTGTAGCTGGCCAGAGTGATGAGCCCACCCCAGCAAGGGGACAGTGAGAAGAAGGTTTGCACAGCAGCATCTTTCCACACCTGGTTTCAAAATCACATTTCAGGAAACAATCATTCTGTACTCAAAAACCTTTTTTTGCAGTGTGTGGGGAGACAAGACAGACAGGATGGCTAGTCAAACAGACCATGTACTATAAACCAATGTGTGGTTTTGGCCCATATGGAAAGCAAAGAATAGTATCACTGTTACTATATAGTTACTATATTGGGTCTATATTCTTCTGGTTTTCCAGGCTTGATACTTTAGGGACACAGCTGTTTCCCAAGCCAAAACTGTTGCAGAAAGGGACATTGTTTGAGTCACAAGAACACATTAAGTGTTTGTTGTTAGTATGGCAGGCACAGACACACACACACACAAAACTGACCATGTTCAAGCCTGCTGAGAATAGCTTCAGTTATAGTTGTGGCCAGTTTTTATTTGCTCCAAATTCAATGGCTTAATGGTTTGTTGTGCCAAGAGTTGTAGCTTACCATCCCTAGCTGTGTGATGTTGTCGCTCTGAACACATCTGGGTCCTCTGCTGGGATTCTGTGGTCTGGATGAGGGTTCCATTTTTCGTGTCTGCTATCATCTATTCTGGGTGTAAATGTGTTGTGTGTAATTATGGCTGTACTCGTTAAATCTCTTGTGGTGTTGTTTCCTCCAGGGGTATTATATCCTGTTTTATAACCTTGAGACCTCTTCCTCGTTTATGTCCTTGTTGGGTGTCAGTCTCCTCCTGTTGTTCAGTCCTTATATGGGTCGGTCAACATTAAGTGAAACATTCCATTCTTCAAAAGACCTCCCTGAAATGCATCCAACAACCGCAGGACCACTAGCAGAAGTGTATGCAATCCAAAAAAGACTACTTTGAAGGGAATAAGGGTTATATTCCAACTTCCAGTCTAATATGGCAGATAGTCGACTCTCTGCTGATGCTCTAAAAAGTTATTTCTTTCCTGCCATGGTTTGCTGAAGCAAATTCCCATTTTTAGACTGGGAGTACAAAGGTTCCATTGCCCAGCTACTGAGTTGAGAGCCTGGTGTGATACTGTAAGGTGTGGATTACTTGTAGAATGCCTTTTTCTGTTTTACCTGCAATGGCTTGTGTTCTGAACTACATTACAAATGGTGGGTGGCCGATTACATTCTGAATGTCTAGTAGTTACGCAGTACTGTGAGTGCAATGCCAGTTTTCATAACTGGCTTGCCTTAACAGTGAACTGCATTCTGGTGAGAGACTGTTAGTATTGGCACATATGACAGCTGTCTTATGCATTTACTCTGAGTGCAAGCTTCAAGATTTTCCTTGGACTAACATGTTAATCACTAGTTTTCAAACAGGAAAGTGAAAAGCATTTGTGTAGCTTATAAAGCAGTTATGGGCTTATATCATCAACGCTGCACCAACTAGGTTGAGGGATAATAACGAATCTCTAATGCTAACCCGACTATGTGACCGAGTAGTTAAGCTTGGGGAAGCATGACTATGCCGTAAAGACAGGAGATAAATTCCTCATGGGAACAATCAGTAGAGGTGCTGCACCAGAAGAGCAAGCGTGCATAGGGATGCCCAATTGCAAAGACGTCGACTGTGATAACATGACATAAATAATAACAATAGCAATATTTGTTTTGATTTTTTTTTAAATGTTTAGACAAATAAAATATTAAGTTGTGTATCCTTCAAAAATAAATTGCAAACCAATTCCAACATCAACTGGAGAATATGGCTCTGCACAGCTTGGTGGAATTATGATGCATGATAATGCATTCCTGATTAGGGTGTTGTAGGAGAACCTGTACAGTTTGGAGGAGGAAATGGATCACCACAGTCTGGTCGGAGTGATGCAGCCGGGAGTGATGAGGGGATCTGGCTGATACTCGACACTCAGAGGAAAGTCAAGACAGACGTATAATCAAAATTACTTTCTGAACATTTGTCTCTTTATACCACTGTACAAATCAAAGGGTCTGCCTCCGAATTGAACCAGCTATTTCTGAATTTTAAGCTATGTTCATAAACCCTAAGCCACACAAGTTGACTTTAAGCTCACACAAATATTTATTCTAACATCACATAAATACTAACCCCAGTATCACACAAATACTTACCCCAATTTGACACAAATACATTCCCAACATCACATAAATACTTATACCCTAACATCACATAAATACTAACCCTAACATCATACAAATACTTATACTAAAGTCAAAGAAATACTTTCACTAACATCACACACATACTTACCATAACATCACACATATACTTAACCTAACATCACACAAATACTTACCCTAACATCACACGAATACTTACTTTAATGTCAAAGAAATACTTTCTCCAACATCACACACATACTTAACCTAACATCACACAAGTACTTACCCGAACAATAACACAAATACTCACCATAACATCACACAAATACTTATATTAATATCACACAAATACTTACCCTAACATCACACAAATACTCACTTTAATGTCAAAGAAATACTTTCTCCAACATCGCACATAATACTTAACCTAACATCACACAAGTACTTACCCTAAGATCACACAAGTACTTAACCAAACATCACACAAATATTCACCCTAACATCAAGCAACTGCTCCCATTGTGGTGTCAGATAATAAGCAATGCCATTAGCAGATCCTGGCAGGCTTACTCCTCTGACCAGAAGAATGGTCAGAACTAAATATGGGAAGAATGCTGTGAAGTAGACTGCCTACAACAGAGAAAGAACAGTTGACATCAACACATTCTGTAGCATGCAACATACTATATACATTCACAATTAATCTGTTATATTACCAAACACACACGTCATTTTTGTCTTTTTATTCCTTCAGTCGCAAACAGTTATATCTTGTCTCTACTTCTAGAAACAAGGCTGTGTGAATCAGTGAAGAACATGCACTGCACCACAACCTTTACAGATTCCACTGGCCTTCTCATTCGAAAATCACTAGCATGGAGAACCAAACAAGCACTTGCCCCCTGTAAGATATGTGGGAGGCGGCTTCAGGCAGGACACTAGGGTTAGAGCATGCCTACACAGAATAGGCTTGAAGGAACTGACACCTGTGAGTGTGGAGCAGACTGAAAGATTCCCAAGCACATGCAGGATTACCAGACCTGGCACAAGGGGATTAAATGGAAAGACGTGCTGTGGGGGACCCACTGCTTACTAATTTCTCATTACTGATTTAAGAATCGACATCACAGCACACTAGGCATACCCATAGATGCTCTGTCTCCCGCAGCAAATGAGGCAAGGTGTAGATGCTAACTGCTTCTCTAGCACACTGATAATACATACGCCGATCTCTTCCTCTCATCCGTCCCTCCGGATCCACACTTAATTCCTCGTTCACACATTCTTGCCCATGTTATTTCATCTAACCTTGTGTCTTCTGCCAAAAGTCGTTCATATATGGTCTTCAGAATATCTGCCTTGTCAAGTACAAGTGTTCTCGTAGCTTTCACTTTGTAGCCAGAAAATCCGCTCCTTTATTCCCACGCACTTCTGCATGTCCCGGATAGTATATCCACATGATTTCCTGCAATGTTAGCGTACTGATGCATTTTGAACCTTCTGCAATGCTGACTGAAAATCAGACACAATAATTCCTCTGGTAACTTTGCTTTCTGCTATCCACTTCAGAGCTGCAGTGATTGCCTCCACTTCTATTCTCATGACTGAAGCTGTAAATAAAAATGCTTCATTTTGTTCTGCAAAATTTTTTTCCTTCATTCTAGCTGAAAATCCCCAGCCAGATCATACTGCCCGATGAACAAAACCATCAGTGTACAATATTGCATCATCTAGTCCAGCCTTTTTATCTATCAGTTGTTGTAACTCTAATTCTGTTACATCACTCTCTACATTCCCTTCCTAACGTAATAATGACCTGATTAAAACTGCTGTTGTTGACCCATTCCTGCCCCGGTGTATTTGCTTAACTGAGGCCGCCGCTTCGATGGTATCTTCAGCTAGTGCCATCCATGAATTTCTTCTTTTCAACCAGCCTTTTCTTAAATCGTTCACATTACCATGCAGTGGATGCCTTTCATCATTGGTAACTCGCATATAGGCCTTGGCTTGCGCCAGTAACAGTCTAGACTTTACCAACATCAACCCAAGCATATACCTCATTGTTCTAATTGGGGTGTCTCTTGTGCAACCCAAGTCAATTCTCACTCCTTCATTTTGAATCCTGTCAAGCTTTGTACACTAAGAATTACATAGGCCATAATCGATTACAGTAAAGACCAAATGGTTGAACAATAGGACCAATAATCTCTGTTCCATGTGTGTCGCCACCATCGTCTTCAGTGCCACCAGGCCACGCTTGCCATTGCAACCTTAAGAAGACTCACTGTCCTGTTTGTGACCAAGATAGGACTTAATGTTTACCTATGTCAAAATAAAATAATAAAATGTCTACATGAGGTGAGGGTTCCAGGGCCCAATTGTTTGAGGGTGAAAATAAGACAGACCCACTGCTCCTCAATAAGTATGTCGTAAATGGTGTAACTAAAGAATCTGATGAAAGTGGATGTGTTGGTCTGAAAGGTGCAACTATCACAGCCTGACTGTAAACCACAACATGACATGCCAACTGCCCTTTAAAGAGAGAATGGCCACTAACATGAGAATAACCACTAACATGAGAATGACCACTAACATGAGAATGACCACTAACATGAGAATGACCACTAACATGAGAATAACCACTAACATGAGAATGACCACTAACATGAGAATGACCACTAACATGAGAATGACCACTAACATGAGAATGACCACTAACATGAGAATGGCCACTAACATGAGAATAACCACTAACATGAGAATAACCACTAACATGAGAATGACCACTAACATGAGAATAACCACTAACATGAGAATGACCACTAACATGAGAATGACCACTAACATGAGAATGACCACTAACATGAGAATGGCCACTAACATGAGAATAACCACTAACATGAGAATAACCACTAACATGAGAATGACCACTAACATGAGAATAACCACTAACATGAGAATAACCACTAACATGAGAATGACCACTAACATGAGAATGACCACTAACATGAGAATGAACACTAACATGAGAATAACCACTAACATGAGAATGACCACTAACATGAGAATGACCACTAACATGAGAATAACCACTAACATGAGAATGACCACTAACATGAGAATGACCACTAACATGAGAATGACCACTAACATGAGAATGACCACTAACATGAGAATGACCACTAACATGAGAATGACCACTAACATGAGAATAACCACTAACATGAGAATGACCACTAACATGAGAATAACCACTAACATGAGAATGACCACTAACATGAGAATGACCACTAACATGAGAATGACCACTAACATGAGAATGGCCACTAACATGAGAATAACCACTAACATGAGAATAACCACTAACATGAGAATGACCACTAACATGAGAATAACCACTAACATGAGAATGACCACTAACATGAGAATGACCACTAACATGAGAATGACCACTAACATGAGAATAACCACTAACATGAGAATGACCACTAACATGAGAATAACCACTAACATGAGAATGACCACTAACATGAGAATGACCACTAACATGAGAATGACCACTAACATGAGAATGACCACTAACATGAGAATAACCACTAACATGAGAATGACCACTAACATGAGAATGACCACTAACATGAGAATGACCACTAACATGAGAATGAACACTAACATGAGAATAACCACTAACATGAGAATGACCACTAACATGAGAATGACCACTAACATGAGAATAACCACTAACATGAGAATGACCACTAACATGAGAATGAACACTGACATGAGAATGACCACTAACATGAGAATGACCACTAACATGAGAATGACCACTAACATGAGAATAACCACTAACATGAGAATAACCACTAACATGAGAATAACCACTAACATGAGAATAACCACTAACATGAGAATAACCACTAACATGAGAATAACCACTAACATGAGAATGAACACTGACATGAGAATGACCACTAACATGAGAATGACCACTAACATGAGAATGACCACTGACATGAGAATGACCACTAACATGAGAATGACCACTAACATCAACCTTAAGAAGACTCATCATCCTGTCTGTGACCAAGATAGGACTGAATGTTTAGCATGGCTTACGTCAAAACAAAAAGTCTACATGAGGTGAGGGTTCCAGGGCCCAATTGTTTGAGGGGGAAAATAAGACAGACCCACTGCTCCTCAATAAGTATGTCGTAAATGGTGTAACTAAATAATCTGATGAAAGTGGATGTGTTGGTCTGAAAGGTGCAACTATCACAGCCTGACTGTAAACCACAACATGACATGCCAACTGCCCTTTTAAGAGAGAATGGCCACTAACATGAGAATGACCACTAACAGGAGAATGACCACTAACATGAGAATGACCACTAACATGAGAATGACCACTAACATGAGAATGACCACTAACATGAGAATGACCACTAACATGAGAATGACCACTAACAGGAGAATGACCACTAACAGGAGAATGACCACTAACAGGAGAATGACCACTAACATGAGAATGACCACTAACATGAGAATAACCACTAACATGAGAATAACCACTAACATGAGAATAACCACTAACATGAGAATGAACACTGACATGAGAATGACCACTAACATGAGAATGACCACTAACATGAGAATAACCACTAACATGAGAATGACCACTAACATGAGAATAACCACTAACATGAGAATAACCACTAACATGAGAATGACCACTAACATGAGAATAACCACTAACATGAGAATGACCACTAACATGAGAATAACCACTAACATGAGAATAACCACTAACATGAGAATGACCACTAACATGAGAATAACCACTAACATGAGAATAACCACTTTCATGAGAATGACCACTAACACGAGAATAACCACTAACATGAGAATAACCACTAACATGAGAATGAACACTGACATGAGAATAACCACTAACATGAGAATAACCACTAACATGAGAATGACCACTGACATGAGAATGACCACTAACATGAGAATAACCACTAACATGAGAATGACAACTAACATGAGAATGACCACTAACATGAGAATGACCACTAACATGAGAATGACCACTAACATGAGAATGACCACTAACATGAGAATAACCACTAACATGAGAATAACCACTAACATGAGAATGACCACTAACATGAGAATGACCACTAACATGAGAATGACCACTAACATGAGAATGACCACTAACATGAGAATGACCACTGACATGAGAATGACCACTAACATGAGAATAACCACTAACATGAGAATAACCACTAACATGAGAATGACCACTGACATGAGAATGACCACTAACATGAGAATAACCACTAACATGAGAATAACCACTAACATGAGAATGACCACTAACATGAGAATGACCACTAACATGAGAATGACCACTAACATGAGAATGACCACTAACATGAGAATAACCACTAACATGAGAATGACCACTGACATGAGAATGACCACTAACATGATAATAACCACTAACATGAGAATGACCACTAACATGAGAATGAACACTGACATGAGAATGACCACTAACATGAGAATAACCACTAACATGAGAATGACCACTAACATGAGAATAACCACTAACATGAGAATGAACACTGACATGAGAATGACCACTAACATGAGAATAACCACTAACATGAGAATGACCACTGACATGAGAATGACCAAAACATGAGAATAACCACTAACATGAGAATGAACACTGACATGAGAATGACCACTAACATGAGAATGACCACTAACATGAGAATGACCACTAACATGAGAATGACCACTAACATGAGAATGACCACTAACATGAGAATGACCACTAACATGAGAATGACCACTAACATGAGAATGACCACTGACATGAGAATAACCACTAACATGAGAATGACCACTAACATGAGAATGACCACTAACATGAGAATGACCACTAACATGAGAATGACCACTAACAGGAGAATGACCACTAACAGGAGAATGACCACTAACATGAGAATGACCACTAACATGAGAATGACCACTGACATGAGAATGACCACTGACATGAGAATGAACACTAACATGAGAATGACCACTAACATCAACACATTCTGTAACCTGCAACAAACAATGCAATAATCATTCATTTCTTACATTACCAAAACACACACCCTTTTAATTTTTACTGTTTATTTTTCTAAAAACCATTGTGCGGGTCTGAAAGGTGCAGCTATCACAGCCTGGCTGTAAACAACAATGCAACATGTCAATAGCTCTTATAAATGTGAACACAAAAGAAGCAAATGGCCCCTATGTATTTGTTGTTGTGGGCGTTGTTTCTCCATGGGTTTCAGCTGTCACATCTGAGACTGAAATTATTAAGAAATAAGATATGCTGACATCGCTTACTTTGCCAGATGATCTAATCCCTTTGATCAAACAACTGCAGACAAGGATCCATGCCAACAGCAAGCAGAGAGCCAGTTCCCACTTGACTCCTCCAATGCTACTTATCCCTTCAGAGAGATCAAGGACAGCTTTGCTGTAAAGTATAAAGCAGGTCATGATTAAAGCACATTTATGAAGAAAGCATAGACCATGAAGTCATACCGCAGCCAAAATCCTGTTTCGCTTAATCACTGTGTTTGCAAGGATGTGAATTAATCACTATTTGTCTTTTTAGGTGAATTAACCATCCTAATGGTAAGGAAGTTTTGTAACCATAATACTAGTAAGAAAGTGAACTAACCACTGTTTTGGAAAGTGAAATAACAACTGTTTTGTTAAGCAAGTGAATTAACCACTGGCATGGTAAGGAAGTGAATTAACCACTGGTTTGGTACGGACGCGAATTAACCATTTTTGGTAAGGAAATGAACCAGCCACTGATTTAGGAAGAAAGTAAACCAACCACTGTTTTGGGAAGGAGTTGAACTAGCCCTGTCAATTAACCAGTTTTGGTAAGAAAGTGAACTAACCATTGTTTTGGGAAGGTGAATTAACCACTTTTATGATAGGGAAATACCCTTATCTTTACATTGGTAAGGAATGTTTTGGTAAGGATGTGAGCTAACCAATGTTTTGGAAAGGAAGTACACCAACCATTGCAATGCTAAGAAAATTTACTTTACTAACCAGTAGATTAGTTAGAAAGTAAACTGATGTAGTGATACAAAAGTAAATTAACAACTTTAACAGTAGGGACATGCACTTATCTTTGCACTGGTAAGGAAGTGAACTTGCCACTGTGCTGGTAAGGAAGTAAACAAACAAGTGTACTGGTAAGAAAACTAACAAACCACTATAATAGTAAGATAGTAAGCTAACTGATGTATTGATATAAAAGTGAACTGATCACTGCAATAGTAAGAAAGTACATTAGTCACAGTGTTGATATGAATCAGGGCTTTTTTTCTGGCGGTGCACAGTACCAGCACCTTTTTTGAGGCATCATTTTTTTCAATAGGGCTCCATTTTGGAAAAGGGGGGGGGGGGGGATAGACCACCCCTCCCCAAAAAGTATGTCATAAAAGGTGAATAATTAAAGCTTGTGCTCAAGCTCAAATCAGATATCTTCAACCTAAGGGTGTAGATATCACAGCTTAGCTGTAAACCACAACAATATATGCCAACTAATCTTTCAACATCAATCAGGGGATCTGGACAATGCTCAACACTCAAGGGGAAGACGAGACGGATATACAATTGGTGCCATCGGAAATGGAACTCTTCGTCTGCTGCTGAAGATGGGGACGGAGCGATTATGGGAGCGTCCTGAGTACTATGATGTCGATTCTTAATTCAACATTCCACTCTTTTAAGGCAGAACACAGAAGAATAAATGTGACGACAATTTAACAATTCACAGAAACTTACTAGAAGTAATCATCACTGGCAGATTTGTATTTGAAATGACTGGAAGCAGCAAGCTCCTTGATGTGACCGAGGATAGTGTCATCTGTCTGACCAGCCAGGAAGCAAGTATTGTTGTACCAGGTGCCATTATTCTGAGTACAGTTGTTCATGATCGCTGGATTTACCAAACAATCTGGTGAAGAGGTGCAACACATTCTAACAACACATAAAAATGAGACTTTTAAATAATGAGGTCATGAGAGTTGAGCTGATTCAAGAACTGACATTACAGCACTTGGGGCATTCCCATTAACTCTCTGTCCTTATCTTCAGCAGCCACTGCGAGTTCCAATTCCAGTGGAGCCAGCAGCATTCTGATTATAGATCCGTCTTGCTTTTCCTCTGAATGTCAAGAATCTGTCAGATCCCCTGATCACTCCCCGCTGCATCACTTGCACCAGACTGTGGTGATTCATTTGCTCCTCCGAACTGTAAGGTTTTCCTACAACACCCTAACCAGGTCTGCATTATCATGCATCAATTTTCCACCACGCTGTGCACAGCCAGCCAGTCTGTCTGCCTGTTTATTTCCCAACATACCAGCTTGCCCAGGAGAAAAGATCCAGACAATGCTCCTCGCCTAAGAACTTTGAAGCAAAGCATGCCACTCTGCAGAGAATGAGGCAACAAAAATACAGACTGAAGTCATAAATTTATCTTGCAAAATTATTATATGCCTGGTATATTTCACCATATCTCGTCAGTTGTATTCTCTCTCTCTCACGCACGCACGCACACACACAAATATATATATATATATATATATATATATATATATATATATATATATATATATATATATATATATATATATATATATATATTTAATGAAGCACAAATCATGAATCCATTCCACTTATGTAAAGTCATATTGTCTCTTGATACACTGTACACATCCCAAAGAAAAGTCTAAATGAGATATGTGATCACCATGGAAGTCCTAGATTAGTGATGTGATTCTTTTGTTTCAACAAAATAACAGTGATAAATAAATGTAACAAAGCCCCAGCTAACAAAACTTGCAAAAGTACAGCAATAACAAAATTACATTCAGAGCTCCAGTCTCCACAGTAACTCCAGGGCAACTGTCTGTTGAAGGAGGCCAACAGGTAGTATAGCGACCAGGCTATAATCATGTTGTAGTAGATGGCTATCAGGCAGGACACTGTAAACATAGCCCATCCTACTCCTGCATTTACAACAACAAATAAAGAGGGAATACAGTTTAAAGTTGGCAAGGAAAATGACAAACAATAAAGCTTTCTGGCTTATAAGGTTAACTCTTTCAGTTGCAGACAATTGTTTCTTTACATCACTACATCTTAACAATTCATGACTTTAATAAATCAAGGGGCTTGAGAAATTAAAATAATAACACCATGAGGGAAATAAGCATAAGTAACAACTAATCCAAAGTAGATTAGTGTAACAACAGGATTCTGGCAAAGCCGATCATACCAGAAGAAACTAACAAATACATGGTGACTTGTTTGGTGCTAAAAGAGTTAAAGTTGAGAAGGTCGACTTCATTGCCTCAGATTATCCCATATGGCTCCCTCTCTCTCTCACTACAGAATAGCTATCTGCTGAACTGAATTATGTGTCCGTGAAATGAAAGGAAAAGTGTTTCAAATATTTCTGTACCATGCAATTCACTATATGTTCACTGGCTAGCTCAAAAGGCAGTTACTTTTCTTTCTCCTATCTCAGACAGTTTTTAGAAAACTAATGAGTGAATTGCTAGTTCCCCCCTTGCGGATTCCATTGCCCCACTGGGAAATGGGGAAGATGTGCAGAACAGACCTCCCTGCCTCCCCAACTAGTATGTCGTACAAGGTGAATAATTAATGATGTTTCCTTTTAAGTTGGGGTACATCTGCCTCAGAGGCAAGAAACCCATAGTCTGCATATGAATACATATGAATAAGCCAGATCTGTGAAATCTGATGAGCAGGCAAAACCCAACTACTGGAACAAGACCAATGCCTAGAAGTGGTCAAAGAACTTTCCAGCCGGTGAAGGCTAAGCAGAAGCAGAAGAAAAATTGTTAGTTTAGCCTCTTTAATGTCTCTAAACTCAAGATATCTTCCTCTTCTTCTCCACATCCTCTTTTAACAAATAGGTATCAAGGGAGATATGAGGTTCTGCTTCTTGCTCATCTGACTGCCTGGACCATAGACACAATGCTCTGTTGTAGAGTTTTTCTGATGTTATCTTGCCATCGTGTTCCTAGTCTACCTCTGCTCTACTTTATTCTCCTCTTTTAATGTATGCCTTGGCATAAGATGGCATTTTCTCAATAAGTGATTAAACAATTCAATTTGCTGTCACTGTGTGTAATTTAACCATCAATCTCAAATATAAAAGTAAAAGTCGCTTTTCCACGCTTTAGGCGTATAGGGAATATAGGGTTAGACCTATATTTTTACAGACTAATCAGCACTTAGTGGGTGATGTGATCAGCATCATGCCAGCCGCCTTTACTTTCCAGGACTGCACCTGGTACCCACTCAAGGCTGGGTCGACCTGGGAGTCAAGGTCATTTTTAAAAGAAAAATCTGGCTCTGTCAGGACTTGAACCCACAACCTTTTGATCCGCGGGCGGGGATCCAGCCGCCAACATCACAGCAACTTTCCTTATTATGCATATAATTTTTTTTTTAAATCATAAAAATCACTTAGAACTGACACAGAAACTTAAATGAGGTACATCACATGGTTGCATTTGTCAAGAACCTTTAAACTATGCTGATTAGAAAATGTTCAGTGAGTATCTACCAATATACCCCAAGGTGATGAAAATGATCTTACTTAATGTTACTGCAAGTTGCTGACACCCATCAAGTGGCGGAAGACTTATTCTACCACTGTAGACCACCGCTGTTAATGTAATGTTTTTCTGGGAGCAACAGTGCTCATGTTTATAAATGCGTTTGTTTGTCTCTTAAAAAAAAGGGGAGGGGTGTTAATAATATAACGAATACAGATAACAGTGATGTTGAAAAAAGCAAACAACTTTCCTCTGCGATATCTCATGATTTCTCAAAACAAAACATTCACTAATCTCCACTGTCTGAAATCATTTGATTAGTTTACTCAGCTTTCGGTTCGCACCAACATAGAATCACATACAAATTAACAACAACCTTTCCAGAAAGCTAGGTAGGTAGGTAAGTTGCACCCCACCAGGATATTACACAAGCAATAAACACCCGGTGACACAAAGTCCCACCACGCGGATAAGGATCACCAGTAGCAGAGAGGTCCCGGAAACCGCGTTCAGCCGTTAGACCATATTTACGGCCGGGCTATATTGCGGCCCCTGGCAAGAGCCAGGGTGGGGTTTCAAAATAACGAAAAATTGCATCCCTCAAAGGATGACTAATAATACTCCAAAAAGCCAACAACTTTTCCTCAAATATTGCCATCGGTGACACTATTTATATGCACACAACCTCGTCAACCGTCGTAGAAACAAAACCCCAAATATTATAATGCTTTACAGACCTCACCACTGTGTCTGTGCATTCATTTGATTTTCTCTAGCAGAAATATGGGCAACAATATTTCCCTGCGACTTTTATGCCATTAATGGAAACCAAAATCCAGTTATCCCTAACAGCTGTACCATCTCCACTGTTCAAGTGCTCATTTAATAACTACCGCAAACAAGCAGAACTACATACAGCCTCCACATTCGCCGAGTTTCACCATAACAAAAACTTACCCTGAAATATGGGCGAGACCATCCATATTGAAACCACCCCAGAACTTGCGAACTGACCAAAACTGAGCTCCAGAAACACGAGAGGTATGCCCGTGATAAACAGCATCACAAAGAATGGGATCAAAAACGCACCTGTGGATAGTTTACAACAACTTTAAAAAAAGATCAGGTGTGCATATCTTTTCCTTAATGTTCATAATATACAAAGCCCACAACCACGTATGTCCGATGTTTTCGTGTTCATTTTGCTAACACTTTATTACTAGAAAAATTATGTTTACACTACTGCTGCGGCAATGTTTAGCAGCTACAGTTAGAAAGCGCATTAACAGTCGTTTTCATAGTTTCACAAATGTAATATTTTGAACTTCCAGGTTTGTATGATTGCACGAATCAAGAATTCATATCATAGGACAACCAAAATGAGTAGATGACTACCTGATTTGACCTGAGATATACATGCAAGTCAGTATGACTTACCCGTGAAATGGATTTAAAGTTCGGATGAGTTGCGCAGTCGACATCATCATTATGTGCCGTGCCAAAAAGCGTAGGCTATTATTTGTCGGCGTCTCACACAATCACTAGGATCACGGATCAGGTCAGTGTGCGTGTCCTATCCCATACATGTGGCCTAGCCATCCAAGTATTTATCGCTCTGCCTCCCCCTTGCTCTCTTACCAACGATCTTGTCAGTTTTTACCCAAGTACCAGAGTCCATTCCTTTTCATAACATGTTCACACACACACATACACACAACCATCACTGAATTGTCTAATGCCAGCCTAGTTGATATATGTGGGGGAAATGCAAAACGTCAGCATCAGTCTCCTAAAGTTAAGTTCTTTGAATCTTCTTCTTAGCGTTCGCCAGCTATAAACCCCTGCGGAAAGTTTTGGTTGTTCGTCCACTTCTGGACGTTAGTCTTATCCGGTAGCTTGATGCATCGAGAGCTGATTAATCTATAGATTAATATTTAGGTCTAGCTTCGTAATTCAGAGGCCCCAGTGTCGTTAAAAGGGTCGCTTAGTTGCATATATACTTAATAAAACACCCCCTCCCCAACGCACACATATACACACCAAATAAAGCACTGGTAAATATTTGAATAACAGAAGATGTAAAGTACTTATACAGAAACGCTTACCGCCGCCATTCTTGTAGCAGACGTAAGGAAACCGCCAGACGTTTCCCAGACCGACAGCGTAACTCAGACAAGACAGAACAAAATCCATCTTTCGTGACCAGTTTTGTCTGGAAACTTCTTGCTCGTCTTTCTGAATATCTTTACCATTGCTGCCACAATCAGAAGACATGAGTGAGATGGTCTGTTTGGATTTTCCTATGGCGATGTTTTAGACACTGTGTGCTTCCTATGGAAGAAGTTCAGAAAGTCATTTTTGCTGCACATGGATAGACATTAGGTGGGATATTAGAAAAGCACAGTTAATCATAGGCATTGTTCGAATTTTTCTTGTAATTTCTTCGTTTCTTGCATGATATCTTCTGGTTTTGTTCACGGTCTTTCTCATTTCGAAACTGGTTAATTACAACCTAAAACACAGTGATTGGCACTAGAAATATGAAAAATGGAGGCTTAGAGATTAGTTTATGCGTTCATAACAATTTCATGATCCTGAGCACTGTAGTTCTTCAGCCTCTGCTTCTTCTTCGCGTTCACTGGCAGTAAACTCCGGCGGAACATTCTGGTTGTTCGTCCACTTCTAGACTTTGGTCTTGTTCCAGAACTTTAGTTTTTATGTGAATATCCGTTCTACCGTGGACCTATGTGTATGCAGACTGTTACTTCCTCGTCCTTCAGACATATATTTTTCGGAAGGAAACACCCATAATTATTCACCTCCTACGACATGCTTATTAATGGGGCAGCTGTTCTATTATTTCCCGCCTATAATAGGGTACTGGGAGACATACTATGAAATGCTAGGGTTGGATTTTCGTTTCGGATGGTTTATTTAAAAAGTAAAATCGGGTCTTGTGCTTTTCGGGTGGTGGTATGAGAGTCGCACAGTAGAAACGATTAGGACAATGCCCTGTGGTATTACCAAATACAGCAATAGCACACTGCAGGAAGCCTTCCTTGTGGAAATGACACACAAAAGAAGATACGCAAAATAGGGCCAGAAAAGAGCTGTAAGGGTTTGTAACTGATAGAAGGTGTGAAAAAGAAAGAAAAAAAAAGAAAGAAAGAAGAAAGACAGAAGGAATGAATAAAGGAAATGAAGAAGAAGAAGAAGAAGAAGAAGAAGAAGAAGAAGAAGAAGAAGAAGAAGAAGAAGAAGAAGAAGAAGAAGAAGAACAAGAAAAAGAAAAAGAAGAAGAACAGGAGGAGGAGGAAGAAGGTTATGACGGTGAGGATATGGAGGAGGAACATGAGCAGGGTAGGAGGAAGGGGATAAGAACACACACACACACACACACACATACACACACACACACT